CCCTTACCAAAGCATTCACTTACGACAGGACTAAGACACACGCATTCCAGACCCCTCCATTTACCAATCGAGGATAGGATCACTCATGTATCTCGCTACTGGTACAAGACCCGATCTAGCGTACACAATTTCTTTCCTCTCACAATTTTCTGCTTGCCCTACCGAGCAACACCTCAAGGCCGCTAAACACGTCCTTCGATACGTTAACGGAACACAACACATTGGACTCTTCTACCCTTACAACGCGACAAACGCTATTGATACCTACGTTGACGCTGACTTCGCCGCTTGCCTCGATACCTGCCGTTCTTTTTCGGGATACATTGTACTTCTCAACAGTGCTTGCATCTCATGGCGCTCGAAGAAACAAACCTCAGTCGCACTATCAACAACCGAAGCCGAATACGTCGCAATGTCACTGGCCGCAAGACAAATCCAATGGTTCCGAAAGGGTCTCAAAGATAGCCGTCTTGACTTACCGATCGCTTTACATGCAGATAATACCGGCGGCTATTTTCTCGCGAGAAATCATCAGCTAAACGACCAAACGAAACACATCGACATACACTACCATAAAATACGGGAAGAAATCAATAATGACTCATTCGCGCTCCTGCAGGTTGCCTCCTCCGATAACCTTGCCGACATCTCCACAAAAATCGTAGTGAAACCGGCACACGAACGGTTAACGGGACTTTTGAGCTGTGGATAATGAGGGGAAGTGTTGAATTTTCTAATTCGTTTCATACGTATATTCTCCTTAATAATATCATATATTCCTCAACTTAGTATTATTTCTAGTTCACGGACATTACTACAGCGGAGTATGTATTACGTATATTTGATTAATATTTCATGATACGATTAGGGAATTATGGCGTGCTTTTCTTATCTGGTGTTCGGGATTATTTCTTCCATTTTATGCATTATCATGTACGGTCATCGGTCATTTGATTCACAATTATGTTTTAATTATCCGTTCACACCACCTCAGATTTACGCATGTTTTATGGGATTTCCTTGGCAGTTCTTTAGGGTCAACCACGTTCGCACTTATGTTTTTCCTACTTATGTTACGGTCAAACACGTCGATACTTATGTTTTCCCTTACATTTCCTCTTAGTTACACGAAGGATGCGCACCTGTATAAATAGGGGTTACCACCCATCTTGCTTAAGAGAATTAAGAACAAGAACTACTACCAATCTACCTTCATACAAAATTCCTCCTCGCTTAGCGTGCCCGCAGTATACTCTCACTACTGTGTCGTACTTTCGTACAAAGTTATTAAGATAGTGCTGTACCCACACATTTGAACAGTATTTTTAATATACTTGATTGAACAGTTACCTCTTCAAGTCCCTATTTTGTATATCCTTCTCTCAGAGCCTCCCTTAGTGCAGTTAGCCCACAGGTTAGAGATCAACTTGTACACAACTTCTCTTGTACCCAGAAGCATGACTGGCACCCTGGTGTAAACAGGTTACGAAGAGAGGTAAATAGCGGGGTCATGTGGATGACCAAGGAGACCGGTCTGGATGGAAGAAGCTATGATATAAATGTACATAATGCTCGCTACTTGAGAGAAACTAAGAAAGAGAAAAGAAAGAACTGAGCAGCAATTGGAGAGAACATCAGAATTGAGTTACAGTCAACAGTTGGAAAAGACAAAAGCTTCCAATGCACAGAAGTCAGAACATAGGACTTCAATCCATTTTAGGTATAATCAAGTGACCAAGAAGGTGCTCTAAGTTATCTAGTAACTGATAGAAAAATGTAAAGCTGCATCTCAGTTTTGCTGACCACTGATAAGATCCTGTAAGAAACAATAATATATATTTCAGATGACTGATGCTAAATGGCAGGCGGGGTAGATAAGGGTGGGAGGGTACTTAGAACAGCACATGGGATTGGGCAAAGCTACATACTAGCAATAGGTAATGTTTGGTATCACTACTGTGATGCCAGTATGTTTCTGTTAATGAGAGAGGCTTTTAGCTAGGCTGATGAATATGTCTGTCCCAGGGGTGAAGATTTAAGTACAAAATATTAAGGGCCTGTCTATGGTTCTGGAAGACTAGAGGTAAACCCAGTTTTGACACAAAAAGTGTGACAATTTCAAGTGTCACAACAACTGTAATGCAGTTATTTATTATTATTTAATATGTTCCTTTGCCCCACAGGGTTGTCTTGGCAAATATAACATATTAAATAATGACAAATAACTGCATTACGGTTGTCATCATACTTGAAATTGTCACCATTTTTGTGTCAAAACTGGGTCTACCTCTAGTCTTCTGGAACTATACCTAACAGTTCCATCACAGAAATTTGTAGGGTGGGCTCTGACGGTACTGTTAACTCAGGGTTGTGTTGCAACTGATGGTGCCAAATACATTTACCTAATTTTCAACTGTCAGGAATTTTGGGTGCTTAATGGTCAAAATGAGAAGATGCTCCAGGGGTGTGGTAGTAACACCATCAGCCTTAAAAATTATATATTGTTACTATGCCAGGGACCTGTAATGCCCAGAATGGCCATATTACCACTGAAAATCCGATGCTTTCTTTGCTCCAGTGGCTCTAGAATAAATATATCAGAATTGAAACCATTGCTGACTCCCATTCAAATTCTTTTTTTGCATGGCACTATGAGGGATTTAAGCTAGAGTGTGAAAACAACTAAAAAAGAGTCACTAGAATAGGTGGAAGGACCCTTGGAGAGTTATTGTAGATGGCATATAGAGGATGTAAGTTGGGTCCACTGTTTTAATCTGTCAGAAATGGTTGGATGGGAGAGGAGGTAGGGAGTTGTAAGCCTAGAGCCTTCATCTAGTGTTTTGTAAAATTTTGGATTTACTCGTTGACGGTGCGGCAGGAGTTGCAGTATGGTAGACGGTACATTAGGTAAACGGGCCCTAATTAATAGAGACCAGATTCCTCGAACAGGGCATTGCTAGCCTGTGGCTAGGGACTTGTTACTGGGGACTAGGGGACTTTGGCTGTCTTACTCACATGTCGTTGCCATGAATACAGCCGCGTAACAATTTTTGGTAATGCACGTATTATATCATTTATTCATAAAAATTGGGTACTCTGCAGTATTCTTGGTAAAGACGTACAAGGACAGGAGGATGTGAGAAGGGCTGAGTGTGTGGCTTGCTTGTAGCCCTGTGCTCTTGTTGTGTACGTAAGCCCGGCTGAAACTGTGACTGCGTTTTCTTCCTGACTGCCACCAAGCTGTCACTTTCAAAACCCCTCGTCAACAGCGACCCTCCCAAACGCCTCACCATCACTTTTCTCTTCCTATCAAATCCTCCTTCTCCATCCCCCGTTTCCACTTATCCAAATATATACAATCTGGATACGATGTGCGAGCAGCCAAGTGCTTCCGACGGTACGCGTGCCACGGCACAAAACCCGGTTTTGGGCCGGATTCCTACTCTAGTGGGCTCTCCCCTGAGCGGGGTTGCAAGTCCAATACCGTCCACGTTTAGGCCGAATGTGGGTCTAGTGAGCCCGCACTTACAGCAAATGGAAGCCGTCTGGTATCAGCGCTATACCGATCAGGTTGACAAGTTTCAGGCCCAACGTTTTCTCCGCTTCAAGGAGGTTGAGTCCGAGTGGTTCCAACGCTATCAGAGCACAGCGCGTGAGGCATCCGATCAATCTGTTAAAATCGCGAACCTTATTGTTGAGTCCTCACCTCCAGTTTTTCTATTATATCTAACAGGGATTTAGGTGACAATTTTGCATGAGAAAGCCGAGAGCATGAGATTGGAAAACAAATTCAACCTCCGTGGGGCTTTGGGTAATAATCACAAACTCTATCTATTTAGCTGTCACTAACACTCAGTTGTAGAACTTATTGTGTATCATGCGAGACTTATCAAGAAAATCGATAGGAACAGCGTGCACGGCATCCAGCATGGCATCGATGAACTCGCAAGGACACCCGCACTGGTTGCCGCCCTTCAGGATCAAGCATCTGCCTGCCAGCTTGCCCTCCCAGATGTCACTAAACGTATCGGTTGGATCTATGATACGGTTTCCAAACACGACAATGGTAATGAGTACGTCCCTACTCTTTGGGAGGACGATTATACTAGGGAGGAATGTGCTGTGCTGGTTGCTTTCTTGGAGGTCCAGAGAGGGTGGACCGGTGGCTTCATGTGGCGGAAAGTGAAACGGATGAAACAAATCTGACACTGAGGAGGCTGCTTTGATTTACTTGAGTCACATCCTCTTTTGCTAGTCATTGTGTGTACCCTGCTGTCAGAGAATTCCAGAGAGAACTCGGTGAAGGCCATTGTTCTTGGCGGTAGTAGGGAAATAAAGCATTAGATACAGGGTGATTACTTCTGCACAAACTGGCACAGATTGCTTGAAATTGCTTGCACTGGTCTTGTTTTGGCTTATCAATAACCACATCTCAATAGGAACCCTGTCGAAAGGACATAGACCTAGTACTAACTGGGTTGATCTGTCAATAAACTTTCTCTGCCCAACAGCCCGCCCAGTGGACCCAATTTTTGCATTGATCAGATTGTAGTGTGTTTGATAGAGGTGGAAGGTTGTGATATCTGGTTAAGAAATCGCTTCTAAACTGAGAGGAGCTTCATGAAAGTTTAAATTTTACTTTTTTTGAACTACTCAACAGGGATCAGCATTCCAACCTCCAGCTTTAGTTTCTCCTCTCTTCAGATTTCTTTGCTTTATCTCTCATCTCTTAAATATAATTTTATGTCTGATTGTTCACCTCTTTCCCAGCCTGCCGTAAAAACTACCATAATTAAGTCTTGTGCTATGTCGCTGGAATTACCCCCTCCAATAGGGTGTGGTGATTCTTATAATCTCAACTAAACGTTTCGAGTTCAGCGTGAGGCAGGCTTTAGTTTTCTTGTGGATACAGATTTCGTGAATTCGTTTTTCGTTGCCGTTATCTCCTAGAGTCCGTTTCCTTTCCCGTCCAATCCCATCCCCTCTTTATACTTCTCAACAACCACCGTACCCCTCCTCTAACCGTTTCTCCCGGCTTCCCATAAATTCTCCTTACCGCGCTTTGTTTTATCGCCTACTCTCCTCCCTTCTTTCAAACACATGCTACATAACTCCCCTCTGTCTAAATATCAAATAGGAAATGGAGCTCCGGGGACTCCCGGCGTACCCGCGATCCATGTAGGGAATCTCGGCTATCAAGTGGGGTACCTGTGATTTACAATAGTATTTCTTTCATTTTCTTGCCTCACAGAGGGGTTGAGGAAAGTAATGTTTGCAGTGTGTTTCACCGATTTTCCAAAGGCACGAATTCTCGACGATATAGTACTTGACTCGATTATTCCGGCTTTTGCGGTACCAGTGGCTGCTGTAAGAGCGTTGCCTTCCCCTTTTGACGTGAATAGTGTGAGTGTTTTCTATTTTCCATTTACCGGGAATTTGTTGGGTCGACTGTATCACTACAACCTCGTGGCGTCTGTTTTGTTTGCAGTTATAGAACCGGGGTGGGGGTATTAATGAGGAAGGTTGATGACCAGAGAGCAGTAACATCGGGCAATTTGTGTGTTAAAGGCAAATGGGAATACTGGAAGAGAAAACTAACCGCTAGGAGCCAGACGGAATCAGCAATCTCCATGAGGGTAAAGCTAGAGATTATGTCAACCATTGCAGATATCGAGTTCGTATAGTTGATCCGGGGTACTGGCTTCACTTCGGGCGCAAAGGGCTATCAAAGGCAGAATCGGCCCTAACTGGTTACCGAAAGCACAAGAAGGGGGAAAGGGGTGAATGCGTAGGTGCGGATTCCAGAATATTTGGATGGCGGTTTCTGATAAGGCAAGGAGCAAGCAAAACACCATCGCAGGGATCAGGGAGAGAAAATGGAGGGGGCCACCCTGGTGGTTCAGAAAACCGGAGAGGACTAGCCGGGTGCAGCGCGCTGGGGCTTCTTCTCTTGAGTCTCATCACCGGTTGGGTGGGAAGAGGGATGGGGAGAGAAGATGTGTTGTTTCCTAGGGGCATATATTTCAAACTTGTGTTCAAGATATCGCTGTACTTGGAGTGAGCCTGCTGACATTCAGGACCTAATAGGACATCTCAAGTGCTGTTCCCGCGCTTGAGCCGCTTGGATCCCTCAATCTAGAAAAGCGAGTATCTACAGCCCAGCTAGCAGCCCACAGCACCCATTACCCCCTAGAGTAAGGCGCCAGCAGCATTATTCACCCCCCCTGCCTCTAGAGCATGGCCCTCCCCACTCTTCAGATACCTCCCGAAGACCTCCATCTCCAGCAAACCCTTTCCTTCTCCCTGGACAAGCTAACCCTCTTCCCCTACTCGATTCACTCAAAACTTACACCCATCCGGGCGCACTGCAGCCCAGAGTGAGTATTGAAAAAAAAAAACCCCCCCCCGCTATAGAAATACTACCAACAACATTCAAAAACAGGTGACGTGTCGAGAGCAAAACATAACTCGGCGATTATCAAAAACAAAAGACCAGGAAATCTTAAACTTGACCACCACAACAATTGATCTCCCTCAACAAACATATGGGCAACGAACTTCCCGATATCTCCAGCACGAGAGGAGACATTTCCGTCAACAACTTACCCTTCCCGCTGTAGATGTGGCTAAGAGAATGGGTTTCAAAATCCTCCGTTCTTCAACGATCCTGAAAGGAAGGGGGAGAAGACGCAGAAGGTAGAGTCCCCTTTATTTCTTGCCGTGTGAATTCGAGCGCCAATGGTATGGTAAGTCCTTGTTTGCGATACAACCTAAATACTGATATTTCACTGGAGGTTTAGGTGTTAGTTACCTGTTTTCTGGTCTTGGTTTGTTCTTTTGCTTTCCCGGTAGGGTGGTGGTCATGCCTCGTTCAAAATTGACTTTTGTAACCAAGTTCATTAACGAGGGCCCTAAGCGTTCCCTTGGTAGTTACAAGAGTGAATATGTATTCCTCTCCTCTCCGGACTCTCTCACTCCTTCTCCAGCAGTCTAGCTGGAAGCGCGCTTTGAGGAGATTCCAAACCGAACACACCCCCTATCTCAGAACTCCCATCTCTGAACCCCGTAAACCCCCCTTATAACCTTCGCCGCCTCCTCCTCGTCGTACCATCCGTCGACAGTTTCCCTTTCATTCCTCTTGTTCATATCCCTCCCCATCCTCTCCGGCCCAATAAATACCAAAACGATTTCATAGGCGAACACACATCCGGTCAAGATCACCTTTTGGTAATCATAGCGCGAGACGCTCTCTCCTCTTTCTGGAAGTGGAAACCTCTCTCCACTGTTAGCTTCGGTGGTCGAGTATGGGAGGAGGTAAGGTTTCCAAGCGGGTAGACGGTCCCGATGATGGCGGTAGTTGATCTTGGCAGAGAAAGCTTTACAAGTTGGATTGGAATGATGGCCTATCTCTGCAATAATTAGTCCTAACATTATAGAGAGAAGATAGTGGAGGAGGAAGGGCACTCACCCCCTGGGCACAGAATTGCTCCCAGAATGAAGCGGGGATCTCTGGCTACTCCCGGTGAAGCAGTAATGGGCACACGAGGGCACCCCCGGGGATGCAGGCGCCAATTATTCTCAATTTTTGGCCCCACATTTGCAAGGAGTAGCCAACTAAATTCCACCCTGTATTTCTCCGAGGATCGCGACCGCTTGCGCAACGTCGATTTTTGTGTTATCAGAATTCAAGTTGTTCTTTTCCGACATGGCCGGGCGGAGGTCTCGGGAGCCATGGGGCCAAGGCATCTGAGCTTGAGATTCAAGCTGGGGTGAGAGATAGGATGCCATGAAGTTGATGCCACCCATCATCATCAGGACAAGATAGTTTCAAAGAATCCAGGGCTTCTTGAGCCCTGTTTTGGCTTCTTCCCGGAAAATATTTTCGATATCTTCTCCAGCCTGACCCTGTATCCTCATTGCTGGTCGTTCTAGAGGACTATTTGTCTCCTGGAGATATAACTGGAAAAGAGTAAACAGGACGGGACGGAATGCTCCAAACCAGAACAAGGGCCTCCACCTATGAGGAATTGAGTTAGCAAGGCCACAAGAGCAGGCCGTTCGAGCAGATAACCAGAAGAATCAACCCTGTTGTAACATACCGGAGGGTATACATGGAGCTTCATGATGTGCGGCCTTTGAGAGCGGTGGCTCCACAATCACCATATAATCCTCCTATGGCAATACCGAATAGCGCACGAACCCTTAGGAACTGCTCGTGACTATGGAATTCCAAGAGTAAGCCACAAGAATAGATGTCGGGCAAAGAACACATCCCAGAAACCAGTCGCCATTTGCGCAACGGTGAACGGGGGGTCATTCGAGATAGGGGCTGGTTATTCCCCCACATATATCGACAGCAATACTGAAGGTAATGTCACAAACACTTCGAAACCTCAAGACCAGAGTTACCCTCCATGTGATGTCGGCTCTGGACCTGTGGAATGTTTCTCGCATTGATATGAGAGTCAGAGGGCTTTGGGAAAGTCGAGCGCTTCCTTAATGGTCTCGATTAATTCTATATGCTAAAGAGATTTCTGGGTGACATACCGCGTCCATCCCACGAGAGCAATTAGGAGTTGTCACAGCCTCCAGGCCGGCTACCGAAGGACCGTGGTGATCTGATTGGAGGGCAGGTTTCCTAGTGGCTTGAGAGCGCTAATCCTGGTGGCTGCAAAGTGTCGTGCACTTATTTGAGGGATGACTTTATGCTTTAGCTGTTTAGTTGGGGGACAACGGAGACGGGGGCATGAAGGTGAATTCAACCCTGGGCAGGGGTTATCCTTATATGATTTCTCCCCCCCCTCCGGGTGCTGCACAGTTTATGGGGTCTTGACAGTTAAGGAGCGCGGGGGTGATATCTGGATACTTCAGGGGAGGATCAGAGATTATGAACCGGCTCAGGAGGACATTAGCCTCCTCCTTCTCCTCCCTTCGAAAGGTGACTGTATTATCGGGTTAAAATTGCGTATGCGGCGCAGGATCATACCACCTACCGCCCCTTATATCTCTGGCGTGTCGGGACAAGTCATGCGGCTCTGAGGAATCCAAGAAAAGACCTGTATTGAATGCCGTATTAGTAAATAGGATGCGCTACCCGCTTCGTAGGTTCCCCATCTATGATTCCAATTCCCAACAAGGATAAAACAAAAATGCCTCTCTAGCAGAGCTGGGGAAAGGGTTAGCGGTCGGAGATGATACAAAAATGGCGGTGCATCCTTCAACTGTGGCGGTACGATATTCAAATGGGCTAAACTGGTCCCTGTCATATTTGGCAAAATGTCCGATACTCTGTGCTGAGACCCGTAAGGGATCGTGCGGGCTGCAAGCCGAGCTTCAGAAGCAGATCTTTACCGGTCCATTTAATATTTATGCTCGTAAGGGGAGTTGGGGAGAGGAGGGGGGGACATCTTACTGCAAGACAAACGGCGGAGTGATCTAGGAAAATGGTGAGCGTTTACTCCACCAGTCACGATCCCAGGAGGGTTAGTACGATTGCACAAAAGGAGTGGGTACCAGGATTGGCAAGGGAAAGTCTGGGCTAAAGCTTGTTCTTTTGCCAAGTGGTTCGTCAGGCTTAGCCGATCGAAATTCTGGCTGTACTCGGGTGGCCGGAATGAAGGCGCGTTTCCTTTGGGGATATAATGCATCATGGTGTAGCATTGGGGCTAGTTTCATAGGCAGCATTCAATGTACTGGATGCAAATATCATAAAGTACCGAAGATGGGTCAGACATTTGCAAAAGAGTTGCTATCTCGTATGGTATGCTCTTTCATGTCTTGCAGGTGCATGGCTAATAAAATAATAAGTATATGAAAATGAATTATAAGAAGAGAAGAAGTGTGATCAATGATTTCAAAGGGAAATTGATAACAAGACTACTCTTGTCCAGCACTTCAAATTGTTCTTATGAAACAACACCCATTACCATGTCAAGATACATTATACTTCAAATGGAAATGCGACTTCAATCCGATGACTTGAGTAATAGTGGTTGTCTCTGGCTTCTGAGAAAGTTCAAGTTCCTCTCACACCACTACCATGCTCTGCCATCAATCTGTTCCTTGTTTTTCATCTCTTAGCTGCCGTTTTGCATTCCTACCATCCTTGACCATTAATGTTTCCTTCATTTTTCCTCATATACTATTTCTTTACCAATTTCCCCTTTCCTTAATTTTCTTGAATTATGATTCTGGAAGGCTAGACTCTGCCCCAATTTTCAGACAAAAAGTGTGACAAAATTGTTGTAACATCAAGTGTAACACTGCCAAGACCTTATTATCCTTGCACCCAACATACAAAACCCTAACTTGTAAACATGCAAAAAATAATGATTACAAGAGCATAAGATGAGAAAATATGTAAGAATTTAATCATAGAGAAAGCTAGATTTAATGATTGATAAAAATGTATCTCATTAAGAGATTTTATAATTGTTTAATTAATCTACAGTAATTTCTGCCTCTGTAATCTGTTGATGGGATGAGTATCTAGTATATAAATGTTTCTTAAAGTCCTCAGAACCATATAGTTTATTATTTCAATAAGCATCCGAGTCCATCATATGTAAGTTTTATTGATAATATTTCCAGATCAATTAATGTAGATTAATTAAACAATCATAAAATCTCTTAATGAGATAGTACATTTTTATCAATCATTAAATCTCGCTTTTACTATCATTAAATTCTTACATATTTTCTCATCTTATACTCTTCTAATCATTTTTTTTTGCATGGTTACAAGTTAGGGTTTTGTATGTTGGGTGCAAGGGTAATAAGGTCTTGGCAGTGTTACACTTGATGTTACAACAATTTTATCACACTTTTTATCTGAAAATTGAGGCAGAGTCTAGCCTTCCAGAACCATACTGGTAATGTCTTCTTAATTGAGAATGAATGCCCATTTGTTTGACCCTTATTTGATTGCTCATTAACTGATAGATATTATTTAAGAACTCACCTTCCAACTTGCAATCCGTACAGCAATTATTACTTGGACTGGGTATTCGTATGATTTCTCATAGATCATGCCAGGTCTGGTTATCATCATGCAAGAGAACTATACTTATAAAGAAACTAAACGAAAACTTAGGAAAAATATCAAAGCACAGCGCAGCGGAGTAAAGTGGGACCTTGTAGGACAGCTTAACAGAATGAAGAGTACCAGTGCTCCCAAGACACAAATTGACTGAGTCACTGGCAGCAAAGATCTGTACAATACCTGAATTGACCTCACCAAAGGTATCAACCAGGCCTAACTGATTACCACTGGTGTACTGCTTATTGTCCTGAATGATCCCCAGAAGCTTGGCATAATAAAGTAAAGATTGAAGGCCTTTGTGGCCTGCATTCATGGTAGTGGCAATGATGGGTGTATTAAGATTAAGTGGGAAATCAATTCTAGTCAGTTCTAATTGTGCATAGTACCAGTGATTGTTACTTCCATGACTGTGGAGGTAGGTAAGGGGGTACCATAACTTTCTTCATGGAGGGATGTCGGTAGGGGCTGGCTTTGTTGCTTGTTCTTTAAGGGGAAATAAAAGCATTGGCCCTGAAAAGTTATGTGAGCAGTGTGAAATAACACTGCGGGTACTATAAGTATGTCAAACAGCTCTATCCCATATTTGTTCCCACATCTAATTCCAGCCTCAAGTTGAACTGAAGTCCAACTACATGAAAGTAAGATGTGAAAGAGAGCAAAGAGGGTTGACCACTGGTTTAATATGATATATGACAAGGCAAGAAGAATGATTCAAGCATCAGGAAATCTTTCATAGTGGTTTGAAATTACTGAATCTACAAATGTGTTGAATGTATGGGTTATGCTACTAGGTATCATACATCTGAGACAGATTCAATTTTTAGATGAATTTAGAACTTTCAAACCACTATGAAACATTCTCTGATGCTTGAATCATCCTTCTTGCCTTGTTACATATTGTATTAAATCAGTGGTCAACTTCAAGTTTCCTCTATTTCATAACTTACTTTCATGTAGTAGGACTTTGGCTCAACTGGAGGTCAGAATTATATGTTTGGCTAAATGTGGAATTGGGCTGTTTAGCACAGTTACAGGGTCCTTGCAATTTATCTACTTACAGTACCTAAAGCATTATTTTATACTTCTTACCCAAACTTTCAGGGTGAATTCTTTTACTTCCTCTTAAAAAACAACCAACAAACCAGCTCCCACTGGCACCCACATTCCTTTACCAAGAAACTTATACCACCTCCTTGCCTGGCCCCCCTGTTATGCAAGTGACACTCAGTATGCACAATTAGAACTAACTTGAATTGATCTCTGACTTACCCTTAATACACCCATCACTGCTACCACTACGAATATAGGCCCTAAAGAATGTCAAGCTTTACTGCATTATATGGAGCTTCCCAGGAACAGTTAGAACAATAAGCGGTATACTAGCAGCAATCAATTGAACCTGGTTGATGCTCTTGGTAAGGTTAATCTAGGTATCATAGAGATCTTTACTGACTCAGTCTATTTGTCCCTCGAGGTCATGCTTTACTCTGCTATGCTCTCTAATGAGGTCATGCTTTACTCAGCGGAGCTATCTTTTGACATTTTTTCCAAGCTTTCATTTAGTTTCTTCATATGTATACTTATCTCTTCTGGTGATACATGGGCCTGGCATGACCTACTAGGAATAATACAAAAACTAAGTGCAAATAATAGTTGCTGCTGGGTTTGCAAGTTTTAAGATGAGTTTTTAAATAATATCCATCAGTCAACCACCAATTAAAAGAGGGTAAAACAAATGGGTATTCATACTCAGATAAGAAGAAATTGCCAGTAATCAGAGAAAAGAAAGAATAAAAGAAATTGGTAGGGGAGGGGTGTATGGGGAAAAATGAAGAAAAGATTGATGGTCGAGGATGGTAGCGGTGTGAGATGAACTTTCTCAGAAGCCAAAAATAATAGCAATTACTCAAGTCGCCAGATTGAAGTCGCATTTCCATTTGAAGTATAATATATCTTGGCATGGTAATGGATGCTATTTTGTAAGCAAAATGTGAAATGCTAGACAATAGTAGTCTTGTTATCAATTTCTCTTTGAAAACATTGATTGCACTTCTTCTCTTATAATCCATTTTCATATACTTATTATTTTATTAGCCATGAGCCTACAAGACATGAAGGAGCATACTGTATGAGATAGCAACTCTTTCGCAAATGTCTGACCCATCTGCAGCACTTTATGATATTTGCATCTGGTGTTGAATTTTCTAATTCGTTTCATATGTATATTCTCCTTGATAATATCATATATTCCTCTACTTAGTATTATTTCTAGTTCACGAACATCACTACAGCGGAGTATGTATTACGTATATTTCATTAATATTTCATGATACGATTAGGGGATTATGGCGTGCTTTTCTTATCTGCTGTTCGGGTTTATTTCTTACATTTTTATGCATCATTATGCACGGTCATCGGTCATTTGATT